TTAGCCTCCAGTCCCCTAATCATCTTTGTTGCTCTTCTCTGTACTCTTTCTAAAGTCTCAACATCTTTTTTACATCGCGGTGACCAAAACTGGATGCAGTATTCCAAGTGTGGCCTTACCAAGGCATTGTAAAGTGGTATTAACACTTCATGTGATCTTGATTCTATCCCTCTGTTAATGCAGCCTAGCACTGTGTTGGTCTTTTTGGCAGCTGCAGCACACTGCTGGCTCATATTTAGGTGATTGTCCACTAGGACTCCGAGGTCCCTCTCACAGTTACTACTATTGAGCAAGGTGCCACCTATGCTGTACTTGTGCATTTGGTTTTTCTTGCCTAGATGTAGAACCTTGCTTTTTTCACCATTGAATTTCATTTCTTGTATTTCTTGTATTTGAGTATTCATAATATGCTTTGGTTTGGTTACATTATAAAAAGCTGTGCTTAATGCTAGCATATTTCCCCCATGTCTTACTTTTGTTCTCAGGGCATTTGTAATGGCCTTTGAAGATGTGCTGCTTTTTACTTGCTTCAGGTTTTTGAGAGGCAACTGAATCTAGCTGTTTCCTTAAAGAAGCCATTGGTCATACACTGCAGAGATGCTGATGCTGATCTGTTAGAAATCATGAAAAAATGTGTGCCAAAAGACTACAAAATACACAGGTAATTGTACTGTCTTCTTAAGTTGCACTGTTCCTTTTATTTTAAAACACCAGTAATTGAATCTTGAAGCGCTTAATAGTCTGCCTGATTAGAATATTATCATGAAATGTAGATAATGACACCTTGGGAAAAATTCTAGAACCTTAAAAGATTTCAGTTGCCAAGACCTTAGATTTATGAATAGCTAAGCCAGTGATGGCGAACCTTTTAGAGACTGAGTGCCCAAACTGCAACCCAAAACCCACTTATGCATCGTGGAGTGCCGGGTGGGTGTGGCCCATTGGTTGGGTCTGGCTGCAGTGGTAACAGCAGACTGGGTGGGACTAAAAAGTTCAATCAATCAATTCCAATTTTGC